AAGTATATCACAGCTTAAAAGTAAATAAGTCTCGCATCTTCGGGATTCTGCTCCGCCGGACAGTATGGGCATTTCAACCTGGAAATAAATTGATTTCTTTTAAAAGTGACTTTAAATCAGCACTTAGAAAATATCAACATACTCCAGCCTTGCCGCATATATAACACCTACTTATTCGCATTGGCAAGCTTGTTCAACGCGTCTCGAGAAATAACGTGACCGCAAACCAGTTTCATCGGCGGATTGTTCTCTGTGCTTTGTTGCCTAAGTATAGGACAGGCGAAAACCGAATGGTAACGGCTCTGTTTTCCCAGGTCTATCTCGATCTGCACGGAAAGAGAACGATGTTTTGAATCTTTAATATTTATACACATATATTTAATTATATACACTTCGTGCCCTTGTACTTACAGGCAATTCATCTTTACCATTCCAGATACCAGTAACTTGTCTCTGTTGCATGACTTGCTTGATATTCAATAGTGCAGGTAGCGCAGTGCATCCTGCATTGATACTGTAAATGAACAACAAATTATTATTGATGTTTTGTTAAATTCTTCTTAATTATGAGCACATAAATCATATGTACCAAACAGATAATGGACTATCCACACTTAAGCCTAATAATGTACACGCTTCTTTAGTGAAAACATCGTGTATCTCGAGCCATAAAGTCGGATCTAATAAATGACTATAGGGAGATGACTGGATCCCATGTGGCAAATAAAGTAATGTTCCCATTAAAGATTGCACTTCTTTCTCGTAACGTACGACGAATTGCGTGAGATTTTGGCGGGCGTATAGTATCGCTTCTCTCTGTTTACTAGGACCTTGTTGAACTAATCTTATAAAATGTAATCTGTGTAATTTAAACTCGAGAGAAGAATTCTGAAAGGGAATAAAAAATTGACGATATGTGTTATAAATCAATAATATAAAAAAGACTATATACATTCATGAATCAGACATTACCTGTGCTAAAAGTGCTTCTCTGTGTTTTTTAGCCCACTCTAATGCTGGTTCAAGATTTCTCTGTTTTAGACAATCCAGTATATAATTCAATTCTGTGAATGGTTCCTTTCTACCTTCATCGGTTTTAATACCAGCTTCCTGCAAATGTTACCAGTTACATTATTATATACAATTACATGAATACAAGAAACATACAAAGTAGTTTGACAAACATTGTAAAATTGAAAATAAGCAAAGCGATTAATATATCAATTATACATTTATATTACATACATTAATTTAAATAATATTCAGATATATGCAATAATTTTGAATTAAGTAAAATAAATTAAACACGGATTTGATTAAAAGAAACTTACCACTGCTAATTCATCGGCAATATCTAACATTCCTTGACGATAAAAGTGTTGACAGATTATTTGATTAAGAAGATGAGATTTCTCAGGCCCAGAAAATACATCTTCCCTGCTGGTACTAGCAAAATCAGCAATAAAATTTCTGTCTATTGCCTTGCCCACCTTGGATACTGTACTATGCAGATCGCGATGGTCTGTTGCTAATCTTTGTACAGTATCACGTACTTTTGTCATTGCTTGTTTTAACATTTGAACTTGAGCAGCTGTTAGTTCCTGATTAGATGGTGCTAATAAAAGTATATTTAAATCAAAATTGATTATACATTTATTGTAAAAGAATAAATATATAAATATTATATATTTACTAATTATATATATTCAAATATTTATACACACATATAATAAATTTATATGTATAAAGTTTCGCAATAAAATATAAATTTTACAATTTATAAAAACATTGTTTTTAAAAAATTATTTTAATGCATCACATAAATATACACTTAAAAAATCTAATTATTCGTTTTAATATCAGTTGAATAATTTCAGTGACAGAACAATTTATGACATTACGACAAGTATATGTCGAGACAATACTTCAGTAATGAGAAAATATAACAAAATAAATAGATATAAGAAATGAATAATTTACACTTAATTGTAAATTATTATACTACAATTTATGTGTCAAATCTAAAACTAGACTATATAAGTTAAATAGTCTACATGTAGAGCACTATTTGAGGTTAGTCGATTTCAAACAATTAAATATGAATAATACAGACACGTTAATAAATGAAATAATTCATCTATCGAAAAATGAGTTTAAGCCATTAAGGATCGAGAGCGTGATAAGCCCTTCGAATTGCATGATAATAACTATGGAAAAATCGAGATGAAAGACAAAAGATTTTGGGACATAGGAATATCAATGATCTTATCGCTGTTTACCTTCCTCCAGATCTTTTTTCAGAGATTGTATGTGGTTTATCAGATCGCGCAACACTGCCTCCGCATGTTCATTTATCGCGCCGAATTTCGACAGAACTTTGTCGACCTCGCGTTCAACAGCATTACACGCCTCCATTATTATCGTATCACTTTTCGCGACTGACATTTGCGCTCCGTGAAGAACGTAAATATATCCCAGAATTTCAAGCTAATATCTCGCGTAATGTACGGACGAATGTACTGGCTCTTATTGGCTGTCAGTAATCATTTGATAGTGACATTTTATCGCGTTCATGTGATATAGCCTGCAACTGATATATAGGTTGTTTCAAAATGATCACATTACACGTAAATGTATCAAGAGAAAAATGGATAATAATAGAGCAAAAACATAAAAACCACAGCTAAATGTTTTGTGCCTAAATAACTGTAGAAATTCGTATCCTACAGTAACAATAAACATTTCGTTTCCTTAACATTAGGTCATCTTCAGTATCACAAATTTTAAAATTAAAAAGATTACATTATCTGTAAAAATAATAATTTTACGAATATATATATTCTTTTTAACTTTTTATTCTTATTTTTTCATATCAATATTTTTGTAGGAGAAAAATGAACTTGACAGTAGGATAAGTTTAAATGATATAAAGATGTATACAATTAAGACTGTGATTTTATTTTTTTCCAACAATTTTTTCAAGTAATCATTACATTAAAATTATACACATTTCTAAGTAATTGCGATAGACATTTTATATACAAATTAAATTAATGTATAATTACAACTGAATCACGATTATTTCATTTATAGGAATTATTAAGACATACTGGCATTTTTTCTTCATTTACATTCCTAATTATCTAGATAGTACACAAAGCCACAAAAAGGCATAATGATGTCACAGTATTTATGACATCATTATGACTTTTGTGTTCTGTTTGAGTATATATATTTTCATTGAAAATAATGTCGGAGAATGAACATATACATTTAAAATAAAAAATTTCGTGACTGGTGGAATGTTCATTAATCGGTGATAGGATTACCCTGTAACAAAATAATACGTATTTAACTTATGTGAACAATATTTAAATATAAATTATTTATACATTTCCGCAATATTGTTTAATCATGAAATAATAAGATAATTAATTTAATCAATTGATTTTAATATAATCCATACACATACAATATAAATTATCTAATCTTCGATGTTTTTGACTTACCCATTCTCGAGCCATAACTAGTATGGTCTTACTACTCAATTTTGGCCCAATCAATGGATTCATTTGTGCCATATAACAACATAGCCAGCTATAAGATAATTTTATTTACGTATAAATTACAAATATATGAATTGAAACATCAAGATGACGTAAAAATATTACTCTTACAATAGCCAGCACGTAAAGCCCGTTAATACCAAGAGAACTTGCAGTATCCTGCAATAAATGTCAATATAAATTAAAGCTTGACGAATATGGGTAATTTGATATCGATTTATATCTTTATAAAATATCTCTGTTAACCGAAATGTTCAAGGAAAATTAGATCAAATGCAGTTATTATTTTACAAGCTATAACATTGTGAGAAGAAATATTTATACAAGAGGAAATTGTCTGTTTAAGAGATCTATGTACAAATGCGAATTTCAATGGAATGAGTATGTACGAAAGCAAAAAAGAGCGTCGAGAGGGATATTTACCCACGATTTGGTCCCTTTGGAACGAAAAGTGGTAGAGCTACTCCTAGAAATACCACGGCGCCCCAGAGAAGCGTGAAGGCTACCACAGGTATTGCAGCTGCGCCCATTTTTTTCCTATCTGATTACGTTCCTTCGAAAAGTAGCGAACGAACACGGAGCCAGCGACCGTATTTCGTATGAGTTATTTACAGGTATCGAAAGGATCACATGAGAGATTCTTTGTACTATTCACGTGACACATCGATTGACCGAAGAACCTGCGAAGAAGGTAAGTACGGCACTCGATTACACTCGGTGCCGTGAATGAGTCTGTTCGTTGCAGCTTTTTGCGCTACTTCTCTTTTTTCTTTTTAATATCTAATTAAATATCTATCTTATTATTAAATGCAGGAAATATAACACAGTACAACTGTAAAAATATTTCGATTGCTGCAATGTATAAATTTATCATCTATCGCGTGAAGTTGTCCCGGATGTTTCGGATATATAACATCCGTATCTACGTATATTCATGCATTATGATTGTAGAAAGAAGTGGGGGAAGGGCGACGTCGCAAAACAGCTGATTTGACAGCATTCCACAGCTGTCATGACGTATAAAAAGTCCCTAAAAAATCTAGATTCCGGAAGTGCGTAAGAATTAATGAATACTGAATGGTAATGGAATGTGGTCTGAACGTTGGCGCGATATCGTTTCTTGGATAGTGAGTGACATGGCCAACGATCTGAAGTTGGCGTCAGCAGCTGACTTCTGCATGCTTCTGCGTTGAGAGACGCGAGAGTACGTTTTCATGTGGGTTGATGATGTTATTTCGAAATGAGACGCAACGTGTAATGTATGTAACATATAATCACATTGCATGTTTTGATGCGACAGTTGGTGATAGTCAGCCGCAGGTTGAGTGTACTACCGCGCGCGACCCTTGCTCTAGGGCGGAGAACGGTTGATAAGCCAAGACACTTGGAAGACCAACGGAGACCAGCCAGCAACTTTTTTTTCCGGAAGAATTTATTGAAACGAATAAACGTTATCCATTCACGATGAAGAAAAAGGTAAATTTTTCTTCTTACATTACGCAAGTGCATGGAATTGCATTTTTTGTTTTGCACAAGTCTTCTTTCTTATAAAGACACATCTTTGTTTTGAGACAAAATGAATACCATTTTATTTCAGGTACTGTTAATGGGCAAGAGTGGATCTGGGAAAACGAGTATGCGCAGCATTATTTTTGCCAACTACATCGCTCGTGATACCCATCGTCTAGGAGCAACGAGTAAGCTAAACTTATGCTAATAGTCTTAAGTATTTATAATCCATTTTTATTTCAAGACCATCTTAAGTAATATCTTAAGATGCTAATACAGTTTTGTAATCAATTTGAATACATCAATTTGAATAAATTAATTAGCTATATTAATATTTTAAGACACTAATACCATCTTAGACATTAATTCCCTTAAGATGATCTTGAAGATTGCCAGCTTAAAGGAGAACTAATATAATGTAATTTATTACAGTTGACGTAGAACATTCCCACGTCCGTTTTCTTGGCAATTTGGTTTTGAATTTATGGGATTGTGGAGGACAGGAAGCATTCATGGAGAATTATTTTGCGTCCCAGCGTGATAATATATTTAGAAATGTAGAAGTGTTGATTTATGTCTTTGATGTGGAATCGAGAGAGCTGGACAAAGATATGCATTATTACCAAAGCTGTTTAGAAGCAATACTGCAGAACAGCCCAGAGGCGAAAATATTTTGCCTAGTTCATAAAATGGATCTTGTGCAAGAGGACCAACGCGATTATATATTCAGGGAAAGAGAGGAAGATTTGAAAAGACTGAGTTTACCTTTAGAGTGCACTTGCTTCAGAACTAGCATATGGGATGAAACCTTATACAGGTATATATCAGATAAGAACATAATTAAAGCAAACAAATAAATCTTTGTTATTGTAGAGCATGGTCATCCATTGTATATATGCTGATTCCCAATGTGAAGGAACTTGAACAAAGCTTGAATCAATTTGCTAATATTATCGACGCGGATGAAGTGCTTTTGTTTGAAAGAGCGACCTTTCTAGTAATAAGTCATTGTCAACGGCAGTTTCACAGAGATGTTCATCGTTTCGAAAAGGTTTCCAACATAATAAAGCAATTTAAATTGAGTTGCAGGTAAGCATGAGTCATGCAAAAAAATAACAAGAAAGAGATGCAACGTTTACAGTTTTTATTAATTTTGCAGTAAGTTAGCAGCACAATTTCAAAGTATGGAAGTTAGAAATACCAATTTCGCGGCCTTTATCGACATATTTACCTCAAATACATACGTGATGGTTATCATGTCCGATCCAACTATACGTAAGAGAGTATTTCAAGTATTTGTACAATTCAAATCCAATATCGAATATATATATATATTTTTTTTTAAATATATTTACATGGATATATTTATTGCTGGGTATGTATTTGAAAAATTATTTGTATATAATTTTATTTTATATTTGTATTTCATGGAAGCATATAAAAGTATTTTATATTTTATATTTCAAATACTAAGATTGGCAATTAATTTTATTATTTGAATTACAAAATACGTCAAAAAAATGTCAACCTCTTCATTTTAAATACAAAATACGTAATACTTTCATGTTGAATTACAAAATCTACTTGTCTTTCAAATATTGTATTTTAAATAAAAATATTTCAAATACATGTCCTGTATAAAATATAATCGAGTTTGACACTCAAGGCATTACCGTGTTTCCTGATATTGAATTTTTTGTTAAAACGCGTGTCTTCTTTCAGCATCCGCGGCGACGTTAATCAACATTCGCAATGCGCGAAAGCACTTTGAAAAGTTGGAACGTGCCAGTCAGAGTTCGGCGTTGACTAGATAGAAGTCGGCGCGACCCAGGCGCCTTGTCACCCGGGTCCATCCTATTAATAATTGCTGAATTTCTGGAATTGCGTATCGTTAAGATAAAGCGCGATTGCGGGGATACGATTGTTGACGAGATCGGGTTACAAAGTATACTTCAATGTATGGCTTCTTCAATGTGAGCGTTTATGACAAAATAAGTATATAATCGACGTATCCGAAAGAGGCTGACGATTATCACTGTATTTCAGGCCGTATATTAGGACTCTATTGATATGAATTCATCCTACATGTTACACGCGGATATGATACATCTCTCATAATGCATCTGCCATTTATCGACGTAGAATATTTTTTAGTTTCCATATTCGTGATTCTCTTGCTGCATTCGGAATTATTTTTTATTCTTCAATTCAATAATCGTTTGTGATTCGAAACATGTCGCAATAACATCCAACGAATATTAGTTATAATTAATCATTATAACCATGTTTATTCTATATCTGCATGATATTATGATATAACAATGCAAGACTGAGTATCCATTTAAGAGCTTCTATTCTCGTAACTGAATCACGACAATAGAAAAATTCTGATGAAAATAATCGATTTATAATCGCGATATGTTTTAATTATGTGTTCACTGATAGATTTCCTTACTGAAGATCGTCCTCAAATATAAAAAGAACTTTTAAGTGGATGTACAATCTATGCTGCATCGAGGTATCATTTTGTGATTGTAAAGATAAATAGTTAACGTCAATTTGGTAGGAAAAAAATTTACGATGTGTTTATATGTTTACAAAAAATTCTCAAAGATATAACAATTTAAAACTACGATGTATTTTTTAAATGTGCAAATAAATTATAACCACAAGTAAGCTTATATTTCTTCCATGAATGAGTATATTTAAAATTATAAAATTGATAGAAACATTTCCTATAAAATCAACTAAAAATATAAAATAAATTTAAAATCATCTGACTTAAAAACTTTTAGAATAATCAAAGACTGATCAGATTCTAAGTTTACTCGATCAAAGTTTCTGTCTGTTTTTTTCTGGTTCCAATATATTTTATGAATCCTTCTATGCCTTGGTGTAAGTCACCAGTTTTTTAATGTTAATTTTGTAACTTGTTGAACAGAATGGTTTCGAAATATAAGATAATTGTTTTAATGTTTCGAATAGATTACAACATCGAATCTGTTAATCTGATGGTGATTTTTTTCTTGAACACGAAGGGATTGATATTTTGAAATTGTATTGAGAATAGTTCCAAAGTGAATTGAAACGTACTATTTTCTATTTTTTGGAATAAAGATTTAAGATTGCGTATTAACTACCACGCTGACT